GTATCATTCACGGATGTTAATACCATTACACGACAAAGACCCACAATCTTCATGAATATTATGACTAAAAGCCGAATATCTTCACTTTTCCAACTCCAGCATCCAGAGGCAAGACTTGTTTGAATGCGCCAAACGGACTTCCAGGACATCTTGTCTGCCGTTCTCGCGGGTCATGACAAACATGCAGTTGGCAAGTGTTGGACTTTGCTGGTCACTTTTATAATGGGCTAATCCTGGATTTTGATAATTATGTAGTCGTACTTCAGTGAGCATTTTTACTTCTGTTTTTTGTAGCTAGGTATTCTGAGCGTGGTAAAATTGGTTACCCTCCATGAAGGGTAGTTTCAGCCATGGTCTGTTCCATGGGTAATTAATCCTCGATGGCAACCAAGCCAACGTTTAGAACTGAATTACTTTTCTACAACGAGAAAAAGACGGACAAAGCAGCAGGCGGAGAAGGCAAGAATTCCAACAAGGAGAGTGTTTTCTATGTTCACGTTTCTCATTACTTAACTTCCTTTGCTATGGTGTTCATTGTATGCCCTTTTTCGTCAGAGTACTTAAAAATATAAATTTCCTGATGTCACGTAGTGTAGAATTTCTGTTTTCGATTATTGTGTCGGGTGGGACAGAATGTGCCGTTAGTTCGTGATAACTTATGGAAGTCTCCTCAACGCTCCGTATGAAAGGTCAGAGTAGGTGTGTTGGCTGTCTCATTACACATTAAGGAGGCCGAGTATACGAAGTGTCGTGGAGGAGACTGTTAGTGTATTCGATAAGCCGGAAAAGTCACCAGATGATAAGAAGTTGGTCGGTGGCCGAAAAAATTCAGAGGTTGATTTGGAGGCCTCTACTTTAGCTGGAAGTCTGTTCCACAACCGAGAGAATTTGACGGCAAAGAAGTTTGCGCGCAAGCAAGACTTGAACGATTTCGTTTCGGCGCCATGGGCGTGGTTGCGCAGATCGTGACAACTGTTGTGTTCGAACTGAAACTCACCACCGGCTGTAAACGCGTGTTTGTGTAACACATTAAAGAAGAGTGTCAGATTGGTTTTGAGTTGTCTCATCCAAAGCGTTTCTAGGCTTAGTGTCCTGTATCTGGAGCTGTAGCCCTGTTTGCAATCATGTCCCAGTAATTTGGCTGTGAAATACCTTTGAACTTCCCCTATTTTATGTTTGTCTTTCGTGCGGATACCACTCAGTATAAATGGACAGTATTCTAATAGTGTGTGTACTCAAGTTTTATAGAGCAGTAGCTTGACTTCTTTGAAGTGGAAGTTACGAACTATGCAACCCATCAGGATCCTATACTTGCGAGTCTGTGATGCTACCTGTTCAGAAAATGTGAGGTCACCTGAATATCTTAGTTCAAGGTCACATACACTTTTAAGAACAGGCAGTTTCGTAGACTGAAGATGCAGTTGGGTATCCACCGAAACAAATCCAGCCACATTTGCCCTTATTGAACTGAAGTTTCTGAGCAGCAGACCATGCGGATATTATATCGAGCTCCCCCTGTATTAGTGCTCGGAAGTGGGATAAATCGTCATGGGTGAGTGTGTATGCAACCCTTAGTTCATCAGCAAACAAGAATGGTTTACCCTAGTAAAGCAGCTGCGGATGTCATCGGCGTATGAAGTGAAGAGAAGGGGATCTAAGACACTGCCTTGAACTACACCAGAGGTGATTGGCTTAGGTTTTGAAGTGTGTGGATCTACCTTAACCACTTGAGTGTGATTACCGAGGAAAGACTTAATCCATCCCAGTAGTGGATAGCCAATTCCCATAGTCTACAACCCACTTATTAACGGCAAGTGATCGACTCCGTCGAATGCCTTTGAAATGTCTAATTGGTGTCGGTCGCGCATGGTGGTTATGAAGTTCAAGATGGCAAGTTACACGGGGCCTCAATTTTGGGAAACCATGTTGACTCGATGTGGTGGTGTTGCCACTAAGCATGTGCTGAAGAACGCTTTCTCGAACAACTTTCTCCATAATTCTAGAAACTACAGGCGTAATATCTATTGGTGTGTAGTTGCTGACTAGTGTTTTTGAACCAGATTTATATCTAGGGAGAATAGATGTTTTTTCGGTACATCAGGGTATGTGAAAGATTCCAAAGAGGGAGACAAAATATTTTAAGTAATAATGATGGAATATCAGGGCCACAAAAATTTAAAGAAATGTGATGATATTTCGTTCTTGCCAGCGCTGCCGGAACATTTTAGCGTCCTAATGGCTTGGTTAATATTCGAGTATGTGAATTCAACCATATCTGTTGTCGTTAGTTGAGGAGAAGAATAGCTTTTAAAAGTGCAGACCACATTAGTGCCATACGAAAAATTTCAGGTTCCAGATAACTAACTGCAAATAAGTCGCTGAGTATTTCACACATATCCACTGGATTATTACAAGCTTTGGTGTCGTGGATAAGAAGAGGAATGTTATGTCTTATGCAATTCGATCGCTTCTCAAGGAGTGCTAATGCATATACCCTAGATGAGCCATCTAGTGCACAACTCTCTTCATCCTCGAAACGTAAATCATGGTTATGCGAGATAGAGTTAAGAATACCAAGAATCAACGGAAGTGCATCGACGTCATGATGTCTGTAGTATCTTGTTGAGAGTTTGCGTAACTTTCTACGAGCGTTGGGAGGTATATGCGGCTCATTGTTTAGTGGCATTTTTTGGAACCTTTCAATGGAACGATGGTATCAAGACAGGTCTTAGAGTTGTAGCAAAACTTGTCAACGGTTAATTTGAGGTCTGTGGTGGTGAAGAAAGATCCTCAGTCAATGCACCTGATCAATGGACACATCTGCTGCCAATCCGTCCTACCGTAGTCTTTACATACTGTTTGGTGTGTAGTGGAAGTACTGGTTGCAGGAAGTGGTAGTGCGCATAATACCGTTTTGTGATCACTTCTCGGGAAGTTGGAGCCTACATTTGCCAAAATAATAACTATGTTATGACAAAATACTAAGTCCGATACAAAGAGTTCCAGTGCTCATCCACACAGGTTTCTTCAGAGATGTTGCTCGATATCTCCCATTTTATCTTGACGGCTGACGTGAAGATACCACTCGTAGTTTGTCCTTCAGTTTCCGGGTGTTAAACTTGTACTGTGTTCTATCACCAACTTCCTTGAAGGCCTTCAAATTGGTTCGGAAGGTTCCTTGCACTAGATAGTGGTCTGAAACTACATCTGCTCCCCTTCCTGACCTTATGTCAAGTAGGCTGCATCTCCACTTCCTTAACATTGAGATAAAGTCGATCTGATCTTTGGTGTGTCTATCTGGTGAAATCCATGTCGCTTTGTGGATATTTCCCCATTGGAAATCATTGTGACATCCGTAGAATTGACGGCAGACGCAACAGATTGTTCCAAACTCTAATTTGCTTGTTCTGTGACGGACGATGAAAGTTCTACGATAACTCACTAGAATACTCTGAGCTATTCAGTTTTCGTTTTTCCAGCTGCTTTCAGATATAGAAGAAGCAACGCAGGATGTGAAACGGGCTTATCTTTTAGTGTTGTCTCTCAAACCATGGGACTAGCCCCCGAGGCCTGTTGTTTGGCGCTCATCTACAGAGGACACTGAAAAATATCTTGAAATCGTCGATCCATCGACTACCACCCACTAAATATTGAACGTCAACTTGTGGAAAGTTGTTATTTTACCGATCTTTTATATTCTTGGAGCAGCACGTTGTAAGAAGCTTTCTGTTTCGATCATTGTTACTCTAAATATCATGGGAGATCAGTTAATGTTCGCATTTGCCTGGTCTTCTCATTTTTGTGCTCTCCTGTGGAACTGAAACTTAGTTCTGAAATTACTAAGCAAAAATCATTTTTTTGTTTCACAACATGATGACATGGAGTTGTTTTGTTACTTACACAGGATTAACAAACTCTACCTGAAACCCAGTTCCACGCGTTATCTGAAGAATTCTTTCTCTATCACACGCTGTTTTTACGTCACTTATGAACAGCGTTATACGTTGTTTCGTCTCTGTAGTTTGTTGGCAATTCGTCTTCATCCATTTCACATGAACGCGGTGAAAATATGGCTTGACTGAATAGGGTACTCAGACCTCATCAATTTAGTTTATCGCAGAAAGAGAAGCTACCAGACAATGGTCCATAAAATCACCCATCTGACAGGACTCGCGAAAAAAGCAGCCTTGCCTGCAATTTGGTCGTTGTTAAGAGGGAACCCTATAAAAACAACATGCTGGAGGACTTACTTCAAACTGTGGTTGCACCTTTCCCTCAAGCGTGTCTTGTTGAATATTGCATCGGTAGGTGTAGTTACAGCCGCTTTAGTAGGCTTCTTCTGAAGGTTGATGAGTTGCGTCGGCTTGCATGGTTCACCAGTGAAGTACCAAGTTCACTATTGACCTGACTAGATAGCTACCGCGATTTCTTGCTTACGACTGAGCACCTTTTCGGACATACCTACCTTGTCCCAGGACTTCTCTTTAGCTATGAAACTCATGCTACCTACTTCTATTCTCTTGTAACGTCGTACCGACCTGTTATTCAAGTTCAGGTACTTATACAGACAGGATCACCTTCACAGCAACCAGTAGCCCCTTCATCAACCCAACCAGCAGGTTACAAATACAAAGCTACAGAAAACAATCATCATGCCTGAACTGAAAGCAAGAAAGCGGAAGGGGTTTCGTTGCCTAATGAGGGAGCAAAACTAAACAATAAAAACCATGCACTGGGAACCGAAAAAGATGGACTAATTACTGCTAGTTTCATATACTCGTCTTATTGATGTTGGATATTGAGCGGAAAGTTAAAATTGTTTCCTGACCTTGATTGTTTTTATTCATCAGAATAGCTAATCAGCTACTGGTGTTCAGTTTGCTTTTGGCGTTTTTCTGAATCGCTCGTCTTAAGGATTAAGGCAGTGTCTTGGAATAATTGCACAGTATTGTCGGTTAAAAACTGCCATCTCAACTTAAAAGCTTGTTTTAGACTCCACAATGAACACTGATAGAGCTTGTGCTGCTTGTCAGGAAACCGTTTACCCTTTCGAAGTGATAAGATGTTTTGACCAGGTTTGTACAGTTACTTCTATCATGAATATAAAAAATTAGAGTTTCTCTGTTTTTATAAGCAGTTTTTGTTTTGGTTGTGCTGCTGAAATCAATATTACCATGCATCGAAATTGTGAAGTACTAATAAACATAGTTATATATAACTATATAACATATATATATATATGTTTACTTACTAATGGCTTACGTACTGCAGTACTCCAGCTGTTATGAAATACCTACATTCACCTCATGTTGATAAACAGCATTTGATTTTGTTTCTGATTTTACTTTTGAGAGTAAGAGTCCTGAAGATTTTCACTCATGAATAACTGCTGTAGGGACCAAGTCTTATTTTATTGTACGAACAGTTTTCGTTACAAATACTGAATCGTACAACATGGAGATATTTCTTAGTAAATTATTGTCCACTTTTCTTTATTCAGTTTGGAGTTGCTGTAGTGGCATGAACAGTTGCGAAATAAGATGTGTGAATAAACGTGTTAACAGATCTGACATGTTTCTGTCAGCTATCAATAGGTGTTAACTAATCAACTAGTTGGTACTGATAACATCCCCTGCATGCATTTTATCTAACCGAAGTAGAACTAAAACTAAACCCTCCGTTGCAGCTTCTCTTGGAAGATCAATTTGCAAATTACTTGCACATAATATCAGCCTTTAGTTATAATTATGGGCCAATTCCATCTGTGGTTTTCACCCCAGTAATTTTTTGTGCTAAAAGTCAGAATTTTATTTTTTGGTGCGTTCACCAAGGGGTCTGATACTACTACTTGTTTTGGTAAGCAGTTTCAATCTCTGAGTATTGCATAAAAACCATAGATCTACATTTAGTTCATTAGACCATACTGAACCCTTTCTTTGCGGCTTCATTGCTGTATGAGGATGCCCTCAGATCGTGGTTGGGGATCACATTGAAGTCCTTCCTTTCTTTGAACGTTGTGTGTTATTTTCCTATCCATTATATACTGATGGAAACTTATATAACCAACATGTGGGATCCCACATTTACATATTTCGTATGCTTCACAACTGAACACCCTTTTAGCTGCAAAACTTTAGCATCAAAAAGGTATCTTCCGAATACCCCTATATTTTGGATGTCCGGTATTTTGATTCCCCAATCTGGTTACTAAACTCATCAGATTGCCATTAGTACCACTTTACGGCTTCTTTTGTTCTATGAGAATTTACTTATTTCGCATACAGTTGGCAGTTTTTTCTAGAGATGCATAGAAGCAGTGTTTGTCACGCCTTTTGTCCTTGGGGTAATCGGTTAGATTTAACTGGATATAAAAATGAGCAAACGCTTATTTTGAAAACATTATTCTTAAACATATGCTATGATCCTGCAAAGGTTTAACAATCTGAAGTTTGCATTCTTCATAACCGCCTAAACAAAATTGAAAGCAAAATGTCACAATGACTGGCAAGAATACGATTGTATAGGAAGTAAATACACGTATAGTAACAGTGTGTTACAGAGCTACTTGAAGATTAGGAATGCATTCATGTATTCCATTTTATTGGGTTTTAAACTTTAGTTGGTATATTGAATTCAGAAGGCTCCTTTTCTTATGCTACTATTTGTCTGTGTTATTTAACGTAACGAACCTAGTATAATAATATAGCAACTTGTGGATATACTTTTTCGGTCTTTGATATAAAAACTAATCTCACTAAAACCGACATAAGAATTTTAGTTTTGTTAGTATGTATTAGTTCTTATTCTGATCAGTATGCACCACAGTGTTATAAATAAATGTGGATTTATTTTCCGTTTTTAAACATTTCACTTTTGATAACAATTATCCCAGAGTACAAAACTTTGAGCCTGCTGATGACTCTGTAGTAAACGGTATGAACTTGACCGAAAACTTAACCTGTCCGTCTTGTTATTTGTGGTTTTCGTTTCATCATCCTCATTTTCACTATGAAATGTTATCTTTGTGAACAAAAGTTTTTGAGTAACCTTTTTTGAAAAGCTTATTCATCAGTGAAATTACTAACAGTTTCTAAACTCATTTGAGACTTCATCTACGTGTAGAAATGTCATGCCAGTTACTATATACTTGTGAGACCTAAATAAATCATATTCGAGATCAAGTTAGAATAAAAACTAACAATATCTCTCAAAGATTAAGCTTACATGTTGAGTATTCGCTTGTCGCCTAGAAAATTACAAGTTTTCACTTCATCGTATTCACAACACTAGTAGTTAATTCAAAGAGCATCTTGTGATCAATGTTTTAAGGAAAACCCTGTAAGTTCACTTTTACAGTTTCAAACTCGATCGGAGTAGAAACATTTTCGTGAAAATCCTAAGATCATTGTCTAGAATAGATAATATTGCAGAACACTCGGTTTTTGTTATCATCACTCCAATCTCTAAATGTGCAAACCTTTTATACTCATTATGTTATACAAGTAGACCATTTAACCACTTAATTTAGAAATATGATATCGCTTTATAACAATTATGGTACAATCACAAAGACGGTTGTTTTATGAGGCATCGTACTACAAATTTCTTATAATTCCTCCGATTTCATAATAAGAGTGTTCAAAGTTAAATGTATTTACAGACTTCTTGTGAATAATTTATCAGCAATAAATGATTCAAGCAATAATTGTAAGGGATTTGCCATTTATTGGGTCTTATCAGTATGAAGATTTAGTTTCAGAAGACTTCAAGATCCATTGCTGGGATGATCTTTGGTTTCAATCAGCAATCACTTCGTATATGTGCATCAAAAATGTGATTTTAAGTTGTAGACAGTGCGCGCTGTCTTCTCTTTAATGTAAGCAAGTTTCTATGGGTTATGTAGTGACAAAACACTTAGTCGCAGTAATACAATTACCTAAAGTCGTTATATTCAAAAGTGTATCGAGATATCTTTCAATTTTTACAAAACTACCACATCTGATTATCGGAGCACTTCATATGGACTGTATTATCATTCAGTTGCAATCTTAGTTGGTAACAAAGGGTCTCTCCGATGCAGAAGTGCTTTACCTTTGAGCAAAAACGGTGTTTCATGTAGCGTTTTCTTGTATTTATGAAAAATAAGTTTATTGTTTTTGGTACAATACTGAATTAAAGTGATTGAGCCTTTGAAAAAAGTGCGGGCTGATTAGTGGTTACAGCTGCTGCGGAATATTTTCTGAACACCAGTCAGGCTAATTTCTTCACAGCATTCACTCTTCGCAATTTTCACTCAATAACTAGTTTCTTTCTTCTTTCCTATTTTGAGAGAGTATACTAATACATTTTGCCACATGGTTATGATGTATCTACCGTTCCTACTCATTCTATCGATTATAAGTATTCCTTAGGCTCACTGTTTATCACACGGTTTCGGTTCATCCCGTTACGTTTTTCATATTCTTGCTTATACCAATATCCAAACTGACTGGGTTAGCATTCCAAAAACTCAAAAGTATGATATCTATAAATTACAGAACTCAGTGCTGAAATCGACAGTTCCCTCACCTATCCTTGTGTTTCCGAACTCAGGAGTACTATTTCAAGGTATTTTCTCAGTATACATCATTTCTATAGTGTTACTCTCTGTTGGGCACAAGGTACTCATATTCAGCTACATGTTCTAAGGGATAATGAAGTTTGGTAACCACCTAAAAATATTATCCTACAACATCGACTTTGCGGATGGTACTTACTTTTGCTGTGATGCAGAGCTCATTAATTCAAAGTTATCCGCTTCATTAAAAGGTTTTAGGCTAAGCATCTATTCAGTTCACAGGTACAATCACATTTTATGCGTATGTCTTGTCAGATTTAGTATTACTTGGTTAGTCTAGGGTCGGTTAATTATTGCAAAAGGGGTACATCGTTCAAAGTGTCTGGTCATGAAATGAAATGCAATTCATTGACACGTCGAAGATTAATTGGTAAATTATGAGGTAATACAAAACCTGTTTGCTTGAAATATTATTATTTTTGGTCATAATTGAAATCAGTAGTAGTCTGAGTGTTTTGTCCCGTCTTCCATATGCTCAACAAAACGAACTCAGAAAAACTGTAGAGTACGGATTGGAGTAAACGTTTATAATTTATATGCACATTGCATCCCTTTCTTGTCAACTACGTTTATTTTTATTGTGCTTATTTGTATATTCAGTCTTTCCTCTCCCAAATGTGTACAACATTGCAGATAATTTCTTATTGGACATCTATGATGCACTAACTGTTACACGTTTTTACTTTTCGAGTATAAAAGATGTGTCGTGGTTCAGAAGTTTAGTGGCTTGGATCGATGCGTAACATACTAATCTACATGTTGCAGTGATTACCGTTTAAAGCTGCTTATTTATGTATATTCTCACCTAAATCTGCAATACTTAGGTTTCCGTAGCAAAGACTAAATTCTGTTCGGTGATTCACTTATGTTTCAAATAAGAAAAGAACCTGTGGGGGTGGTTTTCACGCAGATATGGCCTCACAGTTTGACAGAAAATGAAGATTCAAGCTGTTATGTACCCCTCTATCTACTGGTATAAGTTAACACAGTGAGAGGATAACCCATTTATGTATCAGATTTTTATTGGAAGCGTTTCTTTTCGGATTCATACAATTTCTTCTAGTCCAAACTACTTCTCAGGTTATATTATATGAGATAACTGTGTTCAATACTCTTTCTTATACACTTACTTTACTACTTTAATCGCAGTTATCAGTAATATCGTAATGTCATCATAAGTGAGCTTGAACTTATTACTAACATTTTATTGTAGTTCATTCGATTTCTTAATCAACAAACCATTGCCTTGTAAAAATGTAGTAGTTTAGTAGACACAATAAAAGTATGTATACTTACCTACTTACTTTTCACACTCACACGTTAGTTTACTAGTCAAACATTTTTTGACCTAATCCTTTTGTTAAAATGTATCATTATATTGTCACTATATACATTCAAGTGAAGGTAAATACTGACAGTTATAAATTTTATTATTATCGAAAATCAATGTAAATAGTTTTACTGATGATACTACTGTTCACTAATCATTCTCGTTTTATGACTCTTCTTATTGTTTTTTTTGTTTTATGCTTCATATGATTGATTTAGATATGGCATAGAAAATGTTTTCGTTGCCAACATTGTGGAATGGCATTGAGTATATGTAATTATCATGGATTTGACAAGAAACCATATTGTGCAGCGTAAGTGCTTTTACATTTTATTACTGATGTAATTCAGTCTGATGGATATTTATGTACTAGGCTATGAGCTAGATTTGTTGCGTGTGGGTATATGATATAATCCGGTTTCCGAGGCCAATGTAGGTTAAGTGAGCTCCAAACCAGAGATCCATTTCCGCTTAACTATTGATAGGTCTTCAGCTAGCATGTAATATTACTTTGTCAAATTTGATTCATTTTACACTTCAGCTGACATTGAGAATGAGTGGTACTGAATAAAGTGTAAAAATAAACAAGAATGTTTGCTTATTTTATTCAATATTCAGTTACAAAGCTTTCATTATCGGTTATCCCTACTGTATCAGCTTACCAGTCATGACTGCTTATAGCATACTGGTAGGCAAATAACCAAAGTTGTTCTTTCTTATGGCTTTACACACATACACGCAGCCAGTATGTCTCATGTAAACCCCATATACCAACCATTGAAATCAACAAGATGTTAATGTCTGCAGTTGAGAGACAGTAATCGAGCTAAGAACTTACAAAGGTGATTCTCATTATGTGATAGATTTGTTTCAAGTTGGCATTTATCACGGACCAACATCATTTGGGAAACCAATGAACACTTGGGAGCACTGAAAAGGTGTTTCATCATAGTAGGGGACTCTTCAACCGTGCATCTCCATGACCGCACCAGGGATCGAACGCGATAGCTCCAGATTTCACTGGCGCATGTTACCATTAGAACACTGGGTTAGAATTTAATGATCAGTCACTAATGACCACTGGATAGTAATACAGTTTTGAAGTTTTCAGGGATTTGTTGATTTTAAGTTTGTATTGACCACGGACTGATATCAAAAACGGGCTCGGTACTAATCCTGGATGTCCTGAGTTCAACTCTTAGGAGAGTCATGAGTGCCCACAGCTGAGAAGTCTCATATCAGGATGAAACGGCTGTCCAGTGCTCGCGGTTTTTCAATGGTTCTTCAGCAGATATCAGTCCCTGATGAATACTGGTTTGAAATCAATAAATCTCCACAAACCTGAAAACGGTTGTGTTACGAGCACATTATTTCTATTATTACTACCATTGCTTATCTTTTGGGTTCCTAGTGGAACATAGGGCTTCAGTAGCACGTCGCCATTTCACCCTCTTCTCTGCAGCCTTCTTAACCTGGCTACACGACTGCCCAGAGGCCTTCATTTCTTCCTCACACGATCTCTCCCATGTCACTATTGGACGCCCAACTCGTCGTTTCCCCTTTAGGTTCAACTCGAGGGCTGATCTGGCGCGTGATTCCCCCTAGTGGTCTCCTCAGTGTATGCCTAGCCCAATCCATCTCCACTTTCTTCTGCATATTTGTTGGGCTATGAATTATTTGTTGGTTCGTTGCCAGGCCAGAGTGAGTTCATTGTTGCTTATTTTTTGCGGCTATCTGATCTTCAGTATCGAATGGGCGTAGGCGGCCGCTGTTGATGATGTATGTCTGCAGTTTGTTGGAAATGCTTTTCGTGACGCGCCAAGTTTCTGAACTATATAGAAGCAATCACTTAACTGACATTAGTGTTGAAAATCCGGATCTTTTTCTTTATGCTGAGTGCAGTAGATCTCCACCCTGATTTCAGATTAATGAAGGCTTGTATTAATGTCTTTCCCATCTTGGCTTTGACATCCTCATCTGTGCCGCCTGTAGTTGAAACGATGCTGCCTAGGTAGCTAGGTGAAAAAGGGGGAATTCCTTTGGATTTTTCCCGTTGATAGTGATTGATGCTTGTTTTTGCTGTAGCTGTTGTTGGTTGGATATCTCCATCACCTCTGTCTTCTCGATGTTCACCTGAAGGAGGTCCCATCTTCGCTGCCTCTTCTGTCAACTTGTTGGTTTTTACCTGTAGGTCTTCCAGTTTGTGCGACAAGACATTAGACATAAATCATCATCATTAGCGAAATCCAAATCTTCTAGGCTCATTTCATTGGTCAAGCAGCGTATGCTCATCTTTTCACTCCTCGCAATTTGTTGCATGATCCAGTCGACCACAACCAGGAAGATCATCGGTGATAACAGGCGACAACCTTGTCTTACTCCTGTCTTCACTTCAAAGGCATCACTGAGTTTTCTACTGTGAATCACTTGGCAAGTGGCGTCTTCATATAGTTGTTGAATAAGGTTGATGAAGGTTTGAGGCACTAAAACCGTAGTGTTGAAGCAGTTGCCAAATTACTTCTCAGTTTACGAGCATTTTACAAGCCTCAAATTCTTATAGACATTCTCGGTTTGATTTTAAATGCTAATAAGTTATATTTTACAGGCAGCCAAAGCTCACCCATTGACCTCCAGCCAGAATAAGCAAACAGAATAGAGTTTTAAAAGTTTACTTGATCATGACTTTCATTCTTCCGAAGTAATACAGAAAGCGAAAAGTTTGCACAAAGTATGTTTACCTACTCATAAGTAGCTTAAGTTTAAATTATAATTAATAATATCTCTTTTTAAAGACATAGTCCAAAGCCGACTTCATTCACTTTGGTTACGGATACACCAGAACTGTTGAGAGTGGCAAACAATACAAGAATGTTCAGCAGTGTAAGTATTGTACTGATTGTTTTGAAGTTGTGTAACCCTGACTATTTCAAAAATTAACCTTTTCTTCTATTTGATCTTCTTTTTATGATACTTAAAGAAAGTTCATTTCATACATCGCAGCTAGCGGAAGAGTAGAACAACAATGAGATGTGATCATGTTAAAATCTTGATCAATGTTTAACTGATTTAAACTCTCCACTTCCAACAGTTAGGTCAAAATGTCGATATCCGTTCCACTTAGTGTTTTTTGAGACTCCTGGCAATGTCATTAAACCGAGTGAATCAAGTGTAATTCAGCTCCTGATTAAATCAACTTTCTAATGCTTAAGTGCGCTATATTTATGGTTTTAAGTTTCATCAATAGGACACAATTCTAACCTCATTTGAGAATAAAATCATCTGGTGACGTGGTTTCAGTAAACTGGTCTTAAAAATACACAAAGTACTTGAGGTAATACTATCAGTATACCATCGTAAAGTGTTGAAATGATCAAATCGTTTTCATGAAAGTGGATAACTCAAAAATTTGACAGTTCACCCAAAGCTATCAGTATTTTTTTGAGGTGTTTTCCGGAACTTCATTTTATACGGAGATACGTCTTTTGTTGGACATTTTCATTGATGGGATAATAAAATTAGTACGACACGAAGGTAAGTTTGAAGGAAATTCAATTTTTCTGTATTCCTAAAAGAATCTTTTAGTTCAATCAAGCAACTAATGAATCCAATTCACTTATGAGATAGAAAATGAACAAGAAGAATCACGTTTATTGGATTGTAGGATAAAAACGGAGGACAGATGGTGATTTGGATACTACCGTATGCAGAAAACCGACACATTCTAACAGGTATCTAGACTTCAAGTCACCTCAACCAATGTCATTTAAGGCAGGTTTAGTCAAATGTCTAAGTGATCAAGGTAAAAAACTCACTGGTCAGTGCACGGACTTAAACCAGGAACTAAAACACATAAAAGAAGAGCTAATTCGTACGAACACATAAGAAATGAAACAACAACAGCAACATAAGTATGACTAATAACGACAGCACGAGTAGAAAGGAGCTCACAACCTCTATTGTGTTGCTCTATAATGAAGGTGCATCAGAAACTTTACGTAAAATCCTCAACAAAGCTGGAATCAGGGTGACATTTAACCCTTCAAACTCACTCAGTGTTAAACTTTGTCGGCTGGCTTAAGAATCCAATAGAACCAGTTCAACAAAATAATAGAATCTATCAAATTCCATGTAATGACTGTGATGTCAAGTGCATAGGTCAAACCAGTCAGCCAGTTAGGGTCAGTTAGATTAGTGGAACATAGAAATCTAGCTAAATATAGAATGACAGATTCGAATAAGATCAATAATCTAGAAGAAACTTGGCTATTACAGCGTATGCATTAACACACAATCACTGAATATGATGGGATAAAGCCGCTGTACTTAAGTTCAATACATTTAGGTGAAGAGAGAGAGATTGACTACTGAGTCCTTGTTCATCGAATCAACCAATATCCAATACATATGACAGAAGTGATACACCACTAAAACGTTACTACCAATGTAATCAAAGAATATGAGGTGATAGGACTATAAAAATCCGTTGTCAGTCAAATGTTCTATGATTACATCGATATTGATTATGAGCATTGATAACTTATACTCAAAACGTCATCAAGTAAATAATACTGTGTCACTGTGTGTTATAAGTCAAATTGACAAATCTAATATGGAATTAATTTCTACCACAGTGTCCAAGTTTTACACTTACATTAATATGTATATATCGTTCCAAGTTTGATTTGATCATAGTTACATTATTGGAGAAAAACAAATTATCACCCTGAAAACATGAAAAATATAACAAAATGTATTTTAAATTGCAAATCTATACATTTCAGAAATAATTTATTGAATTTAGGTTTCAGTGTGTTCATAAAAATTTGACTCTATACACTAATGATGTTAAGGGACTGAGATTAGTTTCAAACATTTTTCTCCTACACTTATTACAATAAACTATCATGATGGCTAGTCGTAGAATGAATGAATACCTACGAAATTCGATTACTACAATTGACAACTGATTTCCAGAAGTTCAAAGGTTTACAATGAGTAAGTTTAAATTAGTCAGCCTTGTAAAACTGAAATGTTTGGTTTGAAGTTTTGTAACTCAAAACGTTCAATAGTTTAACTTCTGCTATCTCTTGAACATCAATCAGTTTTCATAAGTTACCCTAAAAATTTGAGAAGACGACTAAAATTTCTGATAATCAAGAAATATGCCTCATACTCAAGTCAATTCAACTAGTTATGCTGAAATACTACTCCAAAAACTAGTCACAATTAGACAAATGGGATATGCTGATTTTCATTATTCTAAGTTTGTCACTGAATTGTCGACTTCAGCTAAAGTCAGGGATTAAGATACCTGATTGGAATCCGTAGACTTGTTTCGGGGTAAGTTAAACTGCTCCTCAGAATGTTCAGCTTAATTTTTAGCCTCTTCATGTGACACTAAATCACAAATTCAAAACTCATATCTATAGACTACTACCATCACTTTTTGGACTAGCTTAACCTAACAGGTTCATACTATTAGCTTTGATTACCTAACGTTGATAGCTTTTCACTTGTTCCTTTCACTATACTACTCCTTACCATCATTTTAAATATTCTTGGTTAACCAGTGTTTCAACCACTAATGTTTGTCATCGCGTTTAGGTAATATTGAAACAAGTTATATCGTAGCTATCCATCTCAGTGAGAGGTTTTCAAGATTATTCTGCTTATAATAAGCTTTTATGGACCTTTAAGTACAATCCAGTGCCATTTCACTAAAAACTGATTATGTTATGAAGCTACATTATCCTTCGTTTTGTTGTCAGTATCTACAACTTGCATTAGACTATCTCTGCCTTTTAGATGAATACACTGCTCATTATTCAACTTAGGTAAAATATGTTCTCTGTTCTGAGTGGTTTTTAAGACCAATTACGCCACAGATATGCATACTGAAATCTTATTATCATCAGAAACTCAGCATGTCGAAAGAAAAAAAGCCGAAACTCACTAGACAATCTTAAGCGCGTCCATGGGTTGAGCCACATCAATTTTTTTAATGAGGGCCAATGATATTACCTAGCCGCTTAAACCTTAACGTGCATAGCGTTCTTTGAATCCATGACTCACTGGCTGACACTCAGCTGACTTAACCGATAAGCTACATCTCCAGTAATTAGCCCTCAATAAGTAATTATTTGCCAGGAATCAGGCTTAACACTGGCAAATAACATGAATTCATACTCTAAGCTTTTGATTTCAGTGGCTTTCAAACCTGAATTGATTTCAGTATATGTTTAAATGCAGGTTTATCGAAAACAAACTGTTACTTTCCACGTATCTTCTTTAAAGTGATAAATATATTGTTGCTTCATCTAACTAAGGCTTTAAAAATACCAACTCCATGCCATTTTCATATGCTATTTTATTAGCAGGTTAAGGTACAGTATGCAAAATCTCAAAATCTTGTCCTTAAACAGCAAAATAATCAGGATAAAAAAGGTTCCTTGTATGAAACGGTTTTGTTTAGATAGTAAAAAGAAATTCATGTCTAATCAACTGATTAACGTAAAGAAGTATCCCTAAGGTACTCTCACGTATCTCAGACGTCAGGACAAATAATTTTCATGAATACACGTAGATTGATATTGCTAATTAATGATAGATAAGTTGCGTTGTACAACTTTTCTAGATCAAAGTTTAGTTTTCCACAACGATAGTAGATCACCGAAAAATAGTTTAGGCTGTAGTGGGTTATGCAATGGTCCACTTACCCAAACCGTGCTAGAAGTGAACCTATGATCCTTATGCTTTATTGTAAAGTTTTCTTTACCCGCAATGGCATAAAGTACAGTATTTTCATTTTTGAGCTTCATTCACATTGTTATTACCGACACATTCTTTGTTTCGTTTCACTGGGAGGCAAGTACGTCGGTTCTGTTCAACCAACGATGTGGTAATACAAGCAATATCATGCAAACTATACTCGTTGAACAAGAAGTAGCTATCGTGACTTGATAGCCTAGTGGATAACGCTCTGGTGTTAGAAGTGATCGGTCCCAGGTTCACTCACTGGGAGGCAGATACCTCCAGCTGAAGAGTCCCAAATAGGACGAAAAGCATATTCTGGATTCTACTGGTAGCCACTATCGATCAATAAGATCGATCGTTTAAAGCTTACTAAGTGCACGTTTCTACTGTAAATACACAAGGATGTATATTTCTCTATTTTATGTAACTTTCACAACTAAAATAGGCATTATATCATCGTGATTATAACAAATCGAAAGGACGTTTAGCGCAAGGTACGCTTGCCTACAAATCCAGTATCCCACAGGATCGATGGTCGTATACAACACATGTTAGTAATCTGTTGTATATTTGTGAATCGTGCGAAAAATGTTTTTATCCACTGAGTAGTTTCTTTGTATGCGCACTTAAAGCATGAATTATTATTATTATTTTTCGTTGATTTATTCCAATCTATGCATGTAGATTTAACTCGCACATGGTTCAATGTCCACGTGTAAAAAATGAGTGTCCCAATCTTTAACTTTCTAGACTAGTTAGTGGTATGTAATATGGGATATTAGTAGTAGTATGTGATGACAGTGTGATGTCACACAGATAGAAAATGTAGGAAGACAGAAAGGCTTAGTGTATATCATCAACTAAATTATTTGACATCCAAATCTACATGTGGATCTGTTCCTTTTAATTCTTAATGTTTTCTACAATCAGCGGTGGGTGACTTTAAAGGCTACCTCAGTAAGTGATGAGACAGCCAATTACATTCCTTTATTTTATGCAAAAGTACTTTTCCAGGCGAAATATCAAAGACCGATTGGTTATTTCTGTTGTTCTTAAGGTGGCCTTTACGGTTGCCCACCAACGGCAGTATAACTCACTAAAGGCATCTCTTCTAAGGATATTTTTCAGATGAATTGAATAATAAATAATCTGTTACTCATACACAAAGTGCTGATCAAGAAACTAAAAATATAACATCAATTGTAAATGGTAATACACTGCATTGTTCTTTTTTCAAGTTAATATTCATGAAAGACTGACATCAGTTAAAGGAACATTGGAAACCTGGGAGCACTGGACAGTTGTTTCGTCCTAGTATGGGGCTCCTCAGCAGTGTGCACCCGTGACCCTACCAGGAATCGGACCCAGGACCTTCAGGTTCCGTGGCCAGCGTAGTGAACTGACAGAAGTTGGAAATATGGACTATTGTATTCTGACCCAGTGACAAAGTTGTAATGTGCTGGCCACGGAATTTGGAGATCATGGGCTCGATCTCTGATGGAGTCATGGGTGCGTACTGCTGAGAAGTCCCATGTTAGGACGAAACAGCTGTCCAGTGCTCCTAAGTTTCTAATATTCCTCCAACTGATGTCATTCCTTCATGAATATCAACTTGGAAAATCACTAAATCCCCACAAACCCCCCAAATTACATGGGATTGTGTTGCAGTTAATGATAGATGCTCAAAGATAAATTGAGAAGGATTCAAAAATGCTTATACTTTTGTCTGTGAAGCAAGGTAGTGCTTCGTTGAAGACTCGAATGCAGGTTGTACAGTGCCACTATCAAAGAAACTATTCCTTACCAATTCCTGACGTCAAAAAATATGCTAAACATTTCATATGAATGTATATTTGAGATGGATGAGGATTTATATTTTGTGGTAGTATTCATCGCAAACTGACAGCAGTTGGGGAATCCTTGAAAACTTGGGAGCGTTAAACAGCTGTTTCCGCCTAGTATGGGATTCCTCAGCAGTAGACTATATCATGAATTGACAGAAGTTGAAAACTATTAACCATTGAACTCCGACCCAGTGGCTGAATGGTTAACGCATTTCATATTCGTTTATTCTTTTTGGTATACTACACAGTGATACAGTATTATTTCATCAATGACATTTCAAGCATAATTTATTGAACATTTCAATATGATAGTGAGGAATAAATTGTGCTTGAAGTACCATCCAGTAAGTGATACTGTATCACTGTGTGTTGTATCAAATAAACTAATGTAATGTAAAATTGTACTCTATCATAGTGCCCAAGTTGTGTACTTACATATTCCACAAGTTTTATAAATTAAAATCACCTTAAACAGAAAGAAGTATGATGACTGGTTCAGTAATCGAAAGCTCATTTTTTCAACCTACTATTATCTTTTTCAATGATATTGGTCTGCATAAGTTGAAATTCTCTGTGAAAGCAAAAGTTTAATCAGATCCAGGGATCAGTAAAAACAATAGTTAAGTTTACAATCTCTATTCTAATTGCTTTTAAGCATTCAACACAATTTATAATATATTACGTAGTTTAGTCAATCAAAAGAATTCGATAAACACTGAAAATCAAAGAACCATATGATCATTATTGAGAGTTAAGTCGTTTTCTTCTCTTACAGCAGTAAGCACTATGAATACATATTTCGTCAAGTCTACTTGTTTACACAGTGTTTTATGCATATATTTTCTTCTTCTTCACAATCCTTATTGTAAATATTTATTCTAGATTCGATACAGTGCAGATGCTCAACGTATTAGAGGCAAGATTACATCATTTCCAGATGATTTATGGACTCAGCATACACTGAAACTATCGAAACAATACAGTGAGGTTAGCTGATAACACAAAAACAGCCAAAAAAAAGTGCATTTTACTTTCGCCTTTTTCGGTTTTCGCAGTCAATGCCTTCCACTTTAATTCAGTCTACAAATAACGCTTTAAAATGAGCCTCTTATCAATAAAAAAGATGATAATGAACTAAGGTGTAGATGTATACAATAAATCTTTCGCATAACATATTTTACTTCAGTCTAGTAAACTGTGTTGCTATAAGTAAATTGCTTACAATTTTATCCGAAAGACAGAGTATCTTTGACTCCAAAAATAGAACTTTTCTGAATCCTTCCATCATTAATTCAGGCATTTCTCAGTGAAATTCACTATTTCCATCTATCTACTAATCAAGTCAACTTTATATCGTTTTGAAACTAGTATTCACATCGAACTTCAGCATCAATTTCAACAGATTTCGAATGAAGTTCGACTGAAACTATAATAACGAACTTAAAACAAAGCTTTGATAACAGTTTAGTAGGTTTACAAGTTGATGTGGACTAATTCAAAACACAATAACAGATTAACTTTCACCTTGACATTAGTCATAATCCACGCTTCACTATTACAATCAATCATTGTAGATTATCGTAGGTAGTTTTTACAGACATCATATTTATTCGTATAAGATTTACTCATTATGATGTAAAGCAAGTGATTCATCTCTTATAGGTAAGCAAGAGAAGACAAGTGGCTGAGGTACACGAAATATTTGCTTTTTAAGAAAGTAGTTGGGCTTACTGATATAACTATAAATCGTTTGTAATCTTAGATTACCTAACGAGTTTAAATGTAGGGCATGATACAACTCTACATAATCTCATAAATCATAGGTATATAGGTATATAGTGCACAAATAGACAGATAACTGTGACATTGGGTTATATAAGTAATCTTTAAAACCATCAACATTCAGAACCAGATAAGAACGGAATAAATATATCGGTTTCACTCGACAAATATTGACCACTATTTTCAATTACAGTTTACAGTGATTCATTACACCTTTCGATATACCTTTAAACAGTTATCTTTCAATGCCTGAATATTGTTATTCTCTACCTTGAATGTGCTTTCAACTTGACTAACCGTATACAATTCGAAATGAAAGCTTTCATTTTTTTTGCCGACTATCTGATGAAACAGTTAAATATGTTTGCTAAAATTAATGCGCTTTACGGATAATCTATAATATTCCTACATGCATGCTATTGTTTTGCTTTGCTATTCACTGGAGCTCTATTCACCTATATTAAAGATATTTATTGTAGAATGTATGTCATAGTGATTTCCACTATAACATTATGACGAAGATAATTATTTTTATTCGGTCAGTTTGTATTCTTTAATGTTTGTTTTAAAAAAAAAGAGTTAATCAAACTTTTTTGCTTATACTCAAGGATGGCGATATGGAATTGAGGTTTTTTTTCATGTAGATCAATTCACTTCACCTCTTGGTAGATCAACACCTAGGTTCATTGATTAGGAGTTGGTGAGTCGCCGATTTCATATCATGTGATCCTTAGTGCTGATCGAACCTTATTTCGTCATGTTATCACTAGGTGACTCAGCACTATAGTACACTTTGATTGATATCAAATGGATGGTAGCAACTGGTTGAGAAGTCCTGCGTCAATGAGTTTTCCTGATTGTTAGCAGTTGTTAGCGCAGAGTTTCTACAACCTCCAAGCAACTGATATCCACCAGTGCTACATACAGTCAGAGACGTCATCATTGAGCTATACAACTAAAGATTGACTGATTTCCTGTATTCCTGAATTAGATATACTTATCCAGTTGCTTGATGCTGACCAATTTTTGACTAATATCACATTTTAGTGTCAATGTTTTAAGACAACTATTCAATTTAGGCCTTTTTCAGTGATCACAGTTAAAATTTTCATTTGTTCTCAACATGCATTTGTACATTTTATAGTTGATATCACTCAAAAGAATAATTGACACCCTTAGAAATACTAGTGTTGAATGGTCTTAGAGGTGAATGTAATTTACGCTGCTTAGTTTGGGGTTATATGATAAATTCACAATACTCATTTTAATCAGATCACTTCTCTTTATACGTGATTTATTTGAACAGTCTCACTTTATAAGCAGTGTCAACATGTGCAGCATGTTCCAAGAGTTAGGTGAGCTAAAGATGTATAAATTCAGCCGGTGTAGTAATTCTTTGATCCTCAACTGCCCACCTGGTCGAAAATTAATAATTTTAACATATTACAATTCAGCGACCATATCTTGTAACTATGCGTTAGAAAAAGAAACAACAATGGCTTCTGTGTAGATAAAAGCTTCAATTCACAAACAAACCAATTTCTTTAGAAATCATCTTAATTTCCATTGATTTATACCAACTGATCAGCTAAATAAATAAAAAAAGGATCTAATTGTAACGCGTCTGTTACATTTTCAAAGTCCTCTCTATTATTTTTCTAGTATATGCTAATGAAATATGCTTGTCTACTTATCTTCTATGAAAGGTTATGTATAATGGTCCCATAATACTTGGCTATGGTTTTAATACCTTCTGTTTATCTATATGTATATATTTCTAGGGTGAAAATGATTCTGTACACATTTGCGAGAGATGCAAAGAAGTAAGAAAATCAGTCATTAGTGTTAACTGTATGATTGGCACCTTTAGATTACTCAAAAATCAATCAATAATTGTCTCAGATTGATTAGTACTAATACTAATGTGTGTTCAAGTCATCCTTACTTACAATGTTTGCCTACAAATAGTACTCACGTACATATACATCTGTTGTAGAGCACAAGCATAGTTTTATACTCGAAATACGGTATATCTTACCTAACAAGTAGTTATGTAACAATAATTAACTCAAAATAGTACTTATTGATGATCTTTCCGGTGTCTTGTGACAAATAGCTCAGTGTGTGGATGTTTAAAGTGCACTTGGATCTTAGTTAGCGAACGTCTCTGTGTCATGCTAGACATCATCATCAGTGCATCACAACTTAAAAATGAAGTGGAGTGATTGGTTTTTTATGGATATTTAGAAAGTGTGCTACTTTACCTGACTTTGATTTGTTTCATCGCTTGGTGAGTGCATGGGTGTAAGCTGAATATGATTGGTTGACTTTCCTAGGGAATGACTTTCATCAGTTCATTTGAGCAAAAAGTGTGAACAAGCCAACAGGAAACGACCTCAGTGTGCTGTAAACAAACAAAAGAAATCAACTAATCATGTGGTCGCGTACTTCCTGGGAAATCTAGAGGTATGAAGTCAACCAATCAGGTTCTGCAAAGCCCTCACGCACTCACCAAGCGACCAATCAAATTATAATCAAGAAACGTAGCATATCCTAAATATCCGTGCGAAACCAAGTACTTCACTTCCTCGTGAACCTGTGATGCACTGTTGACTATGTCTAGCATGACATAGGAAATTTTGCCAACTGAAACCCTAGCTTAGAGAACAATTCATAATGGGAGTCTTTCAGACGATTGAGTGATCTTTGTGTAATAAGTAGAATGTAGATTTACTTCAAGCCAAGTTGCGTATAAACTGCTCAATATAATGATCAATGTTTATTTCTCATTATTAGGATTACTCACTGAGTGCCATTCTCTGGAAGAAAAGTATGATTGGTCCACAATTTACCATCCATCTAGACACACTAATCAGTAGGACATCTAACTGAGTAACCTAAACCTGAATTGATAATGTCATTTAGTTTAAGGTTGACAAAATGAAGTTATTATTTTTTTATCAGATTATTGTTACACGGGGTTTATTGTATCAGAAAAGCAGGTCTAAGTTGAAACGAGCGGTAGGATGTAGTACTTTTAATCAAAGTACAAAATCACTATGTTTGGTTACAGAGTAGATTTCAATCTGTGTTGGTGTTTTATTTCATAAAAACAAATTTAGAATTAATTTAACTACTTTTATCAGTACAAATATTTTATTTACCTTGTTAATAATAATAATGAAATTTTCCTTCTAAACATTTTATTATGGTATGAAGTGTATATTCAAGTTTTCTAAAATTCTTAGGTTTACAACTAATTGTACAATTAATCTTGTTTTAATTGGCAATGATTTATTTTCAACAAGTTAACTGATAACTGATTTACGGACTTCATAGTAAACAAAGCATATTTTCTATCTCAGAGTTGAATAAAATACTAGCAGTTGATACTAATTACAACTTATACACTTCAACTTGAATAAACTATTTAAAGTTCACTTTATTGCTTTATTCTCAATAATCTTGTCAGTGTATTCTTCGGTGTTTGGTCTTTTACTTCAGAAATAAGGAATTTCAACTCTTCACTGTGTACATTTTACGTGGTCTAGTGAAAATATTCATCGTCTCAAGTTATCAAACTCTTAAATGAGAAAAGCTTGAAAAACTAAGGGATTTCAAGTATTTCTTTTCATTCTACTAAACAATTTAGCAAGTATATCAAATGTGCTAATGTTGCCAAGATTTTTCTGTTGTTCTTCCAATCATTCATTTCTTTTGTTAACAGGAATGATAGAAAAAGATCACTGCAACTCGTCACCCTGTTACTGATGTACCTGTTAAGCATTGAGTTGTACCTTAGGTGTACAAGTTTATTATACCGCTTACTTACAGAAGATAAAGTCGATGAAGATGAGTGGCTGACACATGCAGACCTAAATCAATATGCCACAGAACTCCATCATGTTTATCCCCCTTAGAATACTAACAACATTGAGTAAGAGTAAATGCATACATTGGTTGACGCACTATAATTGCTGAGAAAACTAGCAGGTGTACATTACATATATCTTTCTCATATCACTTGTTTAAACCACAAAATCCTTGGAATTTATTTACCTCACCCTCGGCATAATGTGTATCCCGTAAGGGATAAGATAACCAGTATCGAAAGTTTTGGAGTGTCCTATCAGATAGACTTACTTGATTACATTTTGAAGACATTTAGCAATTTCATACATTATACTTACTACTTTCTCCTCTGG